TTTCTTTTTTATGAAATTCAAGTAATAAGTATCCATACTAGTTGCCTTGAAGAGTATTATGCATACGATAGTTTCGGCAGATGGATGGTAAACCACCCTTCCAATGCAATGTTTCCTAAATTGTTTCTCCTATGACTCAGTCTCCAAAGGAATTCGTCTCCTTTAAATTAGTGCGAGCATCTTGACTTATAGGTATTCTAATTATCTTTTTATTTCTCATCGGGTTTACTGTCTTTGGTAAATAACGGTAACGCGAGCTAGGAATATTTTAGCGATCCTTCTTTACTTTCGACCCTACATTTTGTGAATAAATTTTTACTTTTTATCTATTTTTTAACCGTATGGATCACAGTTTCACCTTCTTTGGTGCATCATAGCCACATTTGGATCTTGTGCTTTTAAACTCCAACATCACTCGCTCACGTATAACTGGTTATTTTTAAGATTATCTTTCATGGCTGACTAAATACTCAATGTCTAGTTTATGATTTGTAGCTCGAATAAAATATTATTTGCACATGAATATAATTGGCATATACTCAAATAGTTGATTATAAGAAATATTTTGACAAAATCAATTGCGATAACAAACATTTTTTGATGAGAATAAATTAGTGAGAAGTGTGAAGGCTGATTAAGAACGTGCTGATTAAAAACTTCAAATTTGGAGGAAAGGACGGTAATGTAATTTTAAATTCCGGTTCGATTTCCAATCTGTTCCAGTATTTATTTTATAGGAAAACCAGTGTTGGAAATCCGGCTTCGTATTTATAGGTCGTGACAAAAGCCATTACAAAAGCTTTGCTCACAAATTTATGCATACCCAAATATAGAGAACATTTCCTCAACAATTATCTTTATACATGGCAGTTTTTCAGTGTACAAAAGTTTGTAAAAGTCACCTAATGTCACCGCTTCAAACATTTCTTTCACAGTGTGAACTGGATGCATGTCATTAAGTTCAAGTGACAGCTTCTCGGGTCTGTGTCAATGTCAGCAATGATGGGATAAAAGAACGAATTGAATTTATTTAGGTTCAATTTTCGTTGAGTCCTGAAACCTTCTTGTGACCTCCTCCTCCAAACTCTGCAGATGATCCCTAGCCTTAGAAAAAACACTTTCTGGCATTTCTGTTTTCCTAATTAAGGGAAATGATAAAAATTTCCTTGTCTTGCTTGCCTTGAGAATAGATCTTTTTTGCTTAGAATAATTTTACGCACGGGGAGGAAGTATGAGTTCAAGACGGACTTCCTT